CACTGAATTGACTCGTCACTAACTGGGAGTCGGAATAGGCACTGAGACGTTTCTCGTTGACCGCTTTCGCCAATCGAAGGCCCGCGATTAGGGATTCGTACTCGGCTTCGTTGTTTGATGCGGGGAAACCAAAACTGAAAGACTGCCGAATTAGCTCGCCTGTTGGGGACTGGAGTTGCACGCCGGCACCCGATCCTTAGTTGGTAGCCGATCTGTCGACGTGGAGTATCCAGTTTTCTTTAGGTAGTGCGAGTTCCTGGATGAGTTCCTCCTCGAGATTTTTCGGTAGCTCGATAATAAAATCAGCTAGGACTTGGGATTTGGCGGCGGGGCGTCCTTTGAACACGACGTCGTGCTCGCTTAACTCGATTGCCCATTTGGACAGTCGGCCCGATTGATTGGTATTCTGCATGACTGTTCGGAGAGGATAATTTGTCAGGACTTTGACCGTGTGGGATCGGAAATATGGCCGGAGCTTTCGCGCGGAGGTGATTACTGCTAGGGCCATTTTCTCAAGTGTCGGGTAGCGCATCTTGGATTCGTTCATACGCTTACTGGTATAGAATATCGGCCTTTGTTCTCCGCGATCATCTTTAATCAGAACGCTGCTGACCGCGGTTGTTGATACGGTGATGTAGAGGGATAGGATGTCACCGGACTCGGGCTTCGAGAGTACTGGAGGCGTGGTGAGGTACTGCTTTAACTGTGTGAATGCTGCTTCGCAGTTCTCGTCCCAGATGAAACGCTTGTTTCCACGCAAGAGTTCGTAGAACGGAAGGCATTTATCTGTTGATCGGGATATGAACCTGTTTAGGGCTGCGATACGGCCGGTTAGGCGTTGGACCTCGCGACTGTTTCTCGGGCTGGGAAGGTCGAGGATTGCCGAGATCTGCTTCGGGTTGGCTTCAATTCCTCTTTGTGTCACGATATAGCCGAGGAACTCGCCAGAGGTAACCCCGAATGTGCACTTTGCCGGATTTAACTTCATGACGTATTCGTTTAACGTTCGGAAGCATGCCGCGAGATGCTTTGGATGATCTGCGGCGCGGAGCAATTTTACCAGCATATCGTCGATATAGACTTCCATTGTGCGGCCGAGGTCGTCCACGAACATCTTGTTGACGAGACGTTGGTATGTTGCTCCGGCGTTTTTAAGCCCAAAAGGCATGACCTTGTAGCAGTAGGTCCCTCTATTTGTGATGAACGCGGTTTCCTCTCGGTCATCCGGATGCATGGAGATTTGATTATAGCCTGAAAATGCGTCCATGAACGTTAACAGCTCGTTCCCGGCGGTCGATTCCACTAAGCGATCGATGTGGGGGAGTGGGAAACTGTCCTTCGGGCAGACCTTGTTAAGGTCGGTAAAGTCAACGCAAACACGCCACTTGCCGTTTTTCTTTTTCACGACAACTGGGTTGGCTAACAACTCGGGATACCAAACTTCCGTGATTGAACCGGCTGCGAGTAAGCGTTCGACTTCGTCGTTTACCGCCTTGGATCGTTCGGGTCCCAGTTTTCGTCTCTTCTGCCTGATAGGTTTAAAAGTTGGATCGACGTTCAACTGGGGTGAGGTGATAGAGGGGTCAATTCCCTTCATGTCGGACGTCTCCCAAGCAAAGGTCGATTGATTTGCTCGCAAAAACTCGACGATGTCACGCTTCATTTCTTGGATCTCTTCCTTTTGGATTACTGTCATCGAGCTGAACTTCTTGGATCTCTTCCTTTTGGATTACCTTGCTTGGATTACTGTCATCGAGCTGAACTTCTTGGATCTCTTCCTTTTGGGGGTAGATATTGTGTATTGGTTTGGCGATCGCATTTACTCGGCGTGATGTTTGCTTGATATTCGCTACGAGCAACGTGCGAGCCGCTTCTTAATCACCACGGAGCGTTCGGATGTGTCCGTCATTGCCTGGGAACTTGACGCATTGATGGTAGGTGGATGAGATCGCTCTCGTCGAGTGTAGCCAAGGTGTTCCGAGTATCACGTGGTATGGAGAATTCGTACCGATTATAGAGAATTTGACAGTTCGTGCGACGCCCCCGGCGTATACCGGAAGGCGGATGGTACCGAGCATGTCCTCGGATGCGCCGTTGAATCCGGTCAGGGAGCGAGTCGAAGGCTTGATGAGTCGGAGGTCAACTCCCATTTTCTCGAGGGTATTGTGGAAAATTAGGTCGACGGAACTGCCTGTATCGATGAGAACTTTATTTACCTCGCAGTCGGCGATTCCCACTTCGATTAATAGTGGGTCGTTGTGAGTCATGTGGACCCCGATGGCGTCGTCGGCCGAGAACATGATAGCGGGGTCATCTACGGGTAGAGCGTTCCAGCCTCCGGAGGACTTCGCACTCTTTTGGTCGGGTTTAACGGAGCGTACTGAATCGTCACAGGGAGGTGAGCCCCCCATGATGAAGTTGAGCCGAGTAGGTGCCTCCGAATGCAGGTCAAACTTGGCGAGGGACCTGATCTTATCCAATTGTTGGCGTAGATCGAGCTGCTTCGATTGATTGAGCGTTTCCCGGAGGTCTTTCTTAGCGAAGTTCAACTTATCCCGGAGCTCGACGAGTTTTGGATCGGTTTATGGTATCTCGGAGATCGTGGGTGGCATCCGGTGCGCGAGCTGAACGTCGCGCGGTGAGGAGTGAATGCAGGTCTCAAGATTCGTTCTCATCGTCGGATGAAGACTCGGGGCCAGTAAGTATGACCTGGATCCTTTTTGTTCTTTGGTTGCTCCTCCTCGGGGGGAGGTTCGTCACGATCGCGGGGCTCGGTTTTCTCCTCAGGTTTTGATGCCTCCTCTTTCGCTTTGCTGGATGTGCCGGACGATTTTTGCCCTCTTTTATCTTTGTTCTTGCTCCAGCTGTTATTCCCTTTCGGACGCGGTTTTGGAGGGTCGGTTGGGATTTCACCGCGGGAGTATTTTCCGAACAGTATCTCCTTGAGCTGCTTGCAATCCTTTGAGTCGTGCGCTCTGGATTTATGGTAGGAGCAGTATGGTTCGCGCTCATCGGTGTCAGGTTTCTGGGGCGTTGGTTCGCTCAGTTCACCGTCCTCCTTCCGTTGATAGTGATTCCACCCTTTGGCGCGAACTACGACTGTTGAATCGGAGATGGCGTCTTCGTCTACCATGTAAACGAAGCTCTTCTTTTTCGGCTGTTTCTCGTCCGCCGAGTGTTGTCTCGGCTCTTGTTTTGAGTCGGAGGTCTTGCTCGGCGTTGGTTTATTCGCATGCTGCTTGCTTATCATCGCCTTGGTATCTTCTTCCATTCAGATGAAGTTGTTCGAGCGTGCGATAGCGTCTTGAAGCGATGTCGTTGGGTTGCGGTAGAGGTCTTCTCGGAATTTGGAGTGGATGTAAAGCGTATTTTTCAAGGCATCTACTGCGATGTTATCGGGGGCGTCTACCTTAGACACGACTTCCTTGAATTTCTCCATGAAGTCTCTTAGGGTTTGACCGTGCAGCTGAGACAGCTTCCACAAATCGGAGGCGGTGGCTTTCTGGTTAGTGAACATGATGTAGTGCTTCAGGAAGGCTGTCGATAGATCACGAAAGGTGTCGATGGAGTTCTCCGGTAGGCGAGAAAACCAATTCAGCGCGGCCCCTTCGAGGCTCTCAACGAACCGCTGGCAAAAGCCGTCGTCTCGTTTGGCGTCGTTGAAATTTGCCCGGCCCATGGCGATGTTGAATGCCGTCATATGTTCCGATGGGTCGTCGGTGCCCCCAAAAGTAGGCAGGCGGATTTTCTCCGTGATTCGTAGCCGGACGTCGGTAATGCGGCGAGTGAAGGGTGTACGGAGGGCGGTTGCGAGGACCTTGTCTATCTGAGGAGCTGCACTCGTCACGTGGTGGATCTGAGAGTTAATCTCTTGAAGTGCGAGCTTCAACTCGGCAATTTCTCGAACGGTTTGCAGATCCGGGCTGTCTGCCGGTCGTATAGCGTCAACCGGGGTGTCAATCGGCTGAATGGGTTGGTTAGCCGGAGTAGGAGTCGGGTTTGTGTTAAAAAGAAATCGTCGAGCCGTCGAGAGATTTCCGTCTAGGTTTGCGAGCGCGGCGGCGATGGCTGCTAGATGCTCGTTAGTCGTCTTCTGAACCTCTTCTTGGTGAGCAAGGCGAGCCAAAACGGAATCCATTAGGGTATCTGCGTTCGGAACCGGTGGAGTTTCTTCCGGTTGTACGTCGGAGGGAGCTTCTTCGTTCATCTTTATACCACACTACTTCGTTATGCCCCACGGTGGGCGCCAACTGTTTGTACCGAGTTCGGTCGTATGTCAGTAAAATGAGTGACGGGACTCGTCGGTGGGTTATTACGAAGGTGAAAGTCGGGATGAACCGAGAGAAAAAGGAGACTTTATTTATGATCGGAAAGAGTACAAAGAAAATCCCGGTGCTTGGGAAGCTTAACTGGGATAACGTATGGGTTTGACTATGACAACGAAATAAACTAAATGATTTGCCCTAATCTATGCCGCCGTCTCTGAGTCAGGTTTCGGATCTTCTCTTCGTGCTCCTCTCCCCTCCTTTTATAGCCTGGACTCCCCAGTTTTAACCTAGGTCGTCCCCGGCTCGTGGGCCTTCGGTGTTGGGCCTGTTTCTTGCTCGATAAGATGACTCTCCCTGCTTGTACGGATGCCACTCGGGTGTAAGCAAATTGTGTGTCCTTGTTAACAACTCGCCCTTATTAGGCCGAGTGTGATTTCCTGTGGGCCTCGAGGGGTAGGTACAGCCCACCTCCTACATTCATTCCCTTTTTTAGCCTAAATCAGCAAATGATTATCTTTTCTCTGCGTCTTGGTCTGGAAAGTAATGAGTGCTTCGTATAGTCAAATAATGTTTGTCTCATCTTGAAGCTTAAGATCTGATTCTTGTTTCTGCAAAGTAGTTGTGTTCTGTTTTTTCTTATAATTAAGAACCATTTTGGTGAAACAAGAAAAGCTATTAGCGTGCTTCAAGATTCTACTCTTTTTGAGTTTTGAGAGTAATTAAGAGTTCAAAATGCTGGAAGTTGGAAGTACAAATGCTCTGTTTTTCCGTACGAACACCACTTGTAATAGTCTTCTCCGAGAGCTTCAGGTTTGTTCTCCTTCCTCTTTATTTTTATTTTAACTGGTTATTTTCAAGAAAGTTTAAGATTTCTTGATGAAGACGGTTTGTATGGAAAAATGATTTATTTGTTTTACTTGCAAGGGTTAAAGGATGATTCTTTAGGTCATAATGAGTTTACTAATCTTTTGTTTTTTTTCATTATCATTTCCTCTCTAGGTCAAAGGTTTCTGTGAAATTTGGCTAAACATGTTCTGTGTTTCTTTATATTATATTCACCATCCCAGTTTCATCCAGTTTTGTTGGAAATTTCTTTACTTATAAAGTCTACATGTAACTGTCAATGTTTTTTGGTAACTTGTTGTGTTCTATGGAGGCCAAAATCCATGTGTAAAATGGCTTTTTAATTCTTGGTGTATGAAACAGCAAATATGGGTTGAGATTGGTGAGAGTGAGGCTGAGAAAGACAGGATGCTGATGGAACTGGAGAGAGTATGTCTTCAAATCTACCAAAGAAAAGTTGATGATGCTGCAAATTCTAAGGCACAGCTTCATCAGTCTGTTGCAGCTATAGAAGCTGAAGTTGCTTCTCTAATGGCTGCTCTTGGAGTGTTAAACATCAACTCACCGGTAAGATCTTCATGATTTAGATTGTGAGTTTTAGCTTCCAACTATAGCTCATGCTAATTGCTCTTGCTTTTTGCTATACTCAAGATAAAAGTGGATAAAAGGTCCAAATCATTAAAAGAAAAGCTTGCTGCTGTGACCCGTCTAGTTGAGGACTTGAGAATTCAAAAAGAGGAGAGCGTGAAGCAGTTCTCTGACATAAAGACCCAAATTGAGAAGATCAGTGGTGAAATTTCAGGGTACAGTGACCATCTCAACAAGGCCATGATCGGTTCCTTGAATCTTGAAGAACAAGACTTGACTCTGAGGAAACTTACCGAGTATCAAACACATCTCCGCACCCTTCAAAAGGAAAAGGTGAGAGAGTCTTTATCACTTATTCATAAACACCAATGAACAACAAAGTTTTTTTACAAAACATGCTTATGTTCTTGTAATGCAGTCTGATCGCCTCAACAAAGTCTTGGGTTATGTCAACGAGGTGCACACTCTTTGCAGTGTTCTTGGAGTTGACTTTAGTCAAACAGTTTGCGAAGTTCATCCGAGCTTGCATAGGTCAGACCAAGAGCAGTCAACAAACATTAGTGATAGCACATTGAAGGGACTAAACAACATGATTCAAAAGCTAAAAAATGAAAGAAGAGCCAGGTTTCAAAAGGTAGTCAAGTGCATTCTTCACTTTTATATTCATATATTGAAGGTGGCTTCAAATGTGCAGCTGAAGGATGTAATGGCTTCGCTTTTCGAGCTATGGAATCTGATGGACACACCACAAGAAGATAGAACTAAATTTGGGAGAGTTACTTATCTTGTAAGATCATCTGAATCTAACATCACTGAGCCAGGCATCCTTTCAACCGAGACACTTGAACAGGTTTTGTAATAACACTTCAGTTATTCCACATTCATGTCTTATTCTCATTCTTGATCTGAGTATCTTGTTCTTGCCTTTCCAATAGGTGTCTGCAGAAGTGAACTCCCTCAGTAAACTAAAAGCTAGCAAGATTAAGGAACTTGTGATGAAACGAAGGTCAGAGTTAGAGGATCTTTGCAGACTAACTCACATTCAATCTGATACAAGCACTACAGCTGAGAAGTCAAGTGCATTAATAGACTCAGGATTAGTGGACCCTTCAGAGCTTCTTGCAAACATCGAAATGGAAATAAACAAAATAAAGAAGAAGCACAGACTCGTAAAGATATTATGGACAGAATAGACCGCTGGGTCTCTGCATGTGAAGAGGAAACTTGGTTGGAAGAATATAATATGGTACGAGAAGCTAAAAGCTTGAAACATGTAAACCCTTTAAAGGATGTGTTGTAAAGAGTTTTTTTTGTGTTTCAGGATGTGAACCGGTATAGTGCTGGAAGAGGTGGACATGTAAACCTCAAGCGTGCAGAACGAGCCAGGGTTACAATCAATAAGATCCCTGGTAATTTCAACCGTTTGCATCTTAAGAGTTTCTGAAGATTAAATCAACTAGATAACCAAATCTGCAAGGTCGGCCATGAAATTTTGGAGGCTATAAACAATTTAATAAAAAAAATTTAGTAAAAAATAATTTTTAAACAATTTGAAGGCCTAAGAGCATTGGAAATCTCCAATGTAATACTCTATTTTTTCTCCAAAATAGAGTAAAAGTGAATATGAAGTAGAAATGCTCCATCCCTACTCCATATCCCACTCCATAATGAAGCAATGAACAAACCAAAAATAGATTACTCCATTTATGGAGTAAACTCTATTATGGAGTGGAAAATGGAGTTGGATTGGAGTGTTTTCTACTCTATACTTCCTTTTACTCCATTTTGAAGTAAAAATTGGAGTTGGGTTGGAGATGCCCTAAGTTATATATTGACTCGAAAAGTTTTGAGTTACCAAACGTCAGTATTTCACTCGGCTATGTTCAGCGTATTTTATTTCTTTGTTTGTTATTTTTTGCAGCAACGGTTGACAATCTTATCAAGAAAACACTAGTTTGGGAAGACGTAATGCACAAGTCATTCCTATATGATGGTGTAAGTTACCACGTAAAGATATTAATACAGCCAAAGTCTTTTCTCTGATTCTTTTGACTACTCTCTATAGGTTCGATTGGTTAACATACTAGAAGTCTATATACTAGCTAGGAAACAACAGGAGGAGGAAAAGAAGAGATACCGGGTTTGTCAAGAAAACACTCTCTTACAGCTCTTTTAGGTTTTTAAACTCGCTTGCCGTGTAAAAGAAGTTATATGTATCCTTGTGGCAGGATCAAAAGAAGAGGCGGGATCTCTCACTAACTCAAAGGGAATCCATTTATGGATCAAAACCGAGTCCAAGAAGAAGCAGCGGTTTTAGAAAACCTAATGGTCACAGCATTAGCAATGGGAATGGTTCCGTGCCTCCCACGCCACGTAGAAGCTCGGTGGGGACAGGAACTCCTGACCTACTTCTAACCCCGAGATCTTGCTCGGGTCATCATAGCCGGAACGGGTACTTCAAAGAAGTTAGGAGGCTCACTTCTACTCCATTAAACTTTGTGGCTATACAAAAAGATGATAATGTGTCGACTACCTACACATCGATATATAGCTCTGAGCCAGACTCGCCTCTCCAAGGCTGACTTTCGCTTTCTTTTAAACCGGTAAGAGAAATGATCAAAACTTTTTTTTAAATTATTAGTTGATTAGGTTAACAAAAACTTTGTTTCTGCAGAGATTGATGGTAGTATATGGATATGTGGTGCAGGGTTTTAAAGTAGTCTTGATAATGATGTTATGGTATAGAAGAAGGAAGTGAAGAAAAAGACTTGTGAATACAGAAGGTGACTTTACTTGTTAGGAGATACGTAGAGGTAAGAGTATAAAATAAAACTGAATCTGTTATTCTTTAGAGGTTACAAGTTTTTAATCTAATTCTAAGACGTAAGAGATGCTACTTCTTGTCGTGTGAAAAGTGTGTGCATGGTCTTAATTATGTGTATGTATTTGTGCATATGTTATGATATGTATACATATTTGTTTTGAGATGTGAAATTGTGTTCTTCTGGCCACGCACTGTCATACTCGCCTGAGCGAACGGTCCGGCTAATTCGGCCTTTGGTTAGATTAGTTCAAGCAATTCTTTTCCAAATTAGACCAAATGAAAAATTCAGGTTCGGTCTGTGGTAAGCTTGAAAACTTTGCCAAAATTTATCAAAGTTTCTAATTTTTGTTAGATTTCAGATAAGTTAGTTAAAATTTTGGATAATGATCTGTTGAATGAAAATTTGGGTTAGTCCGAAATATGGTTAAATTGATATGATTTAATTAAGTTTAAAAAGGATTTTAAAACCAAACTAAGCAGAGATTAAAGGCGTTTTACAAAAACTAGATATTTTGGCCGCGCTACGCGCGGCTAGTCTCGTAAACAAATTTTCCAATCATATTGTTTATGTATATGATATATTGTATAATTAAACTTATGATTAAAAATAGAAGAAATAGAATGTTCAACTAAATAGAAAAAAATAACGATTTAAAAAATAACCTACATAATAATTACTGTAGTTTTATATTTTCTATCTT